AAGAAACAATACGTTTTGCGACAAAAGAATTAATCGCTGAAGGTCTATAGATTCGTAGCTAATAATTTGCAACAAAAAATTTCGTCGCTAAAAATACCTATCATTCGTAGCATACATATATAGGTTTTTAAATGATACAAAAGTCATAAACTTGGCTCTCTCCCCCTTAGATTGCTTTTGATTTTGGCTATGATTCAAATTCTGCTTCACTACTACTGCTTGCTTAGCTTTCACTTCAAACTTAATTTCTCTTTCATGGAAAGAGCAACCATAGACAAATACGAACATTTAATTCACTTGAGCTTCGAGATTGAAGAGGTGGACAAGCTTCACTTTTTTTTTTTTTTTTTACAATTGGACAAGCTTCACGATGCACTTGAATTCTTTACTAATGTGGAGAAGAACAAGATAATTGTTGGACAGGGCTCCTTTAGTTGCTACTAGTCCTAGATCTGCATTTTAAGAGGTTCAAGACTAATGGACACCAAATATAAACCGTGAACACATAAATGTCGATAAAATGAATCATGACATGTTCAGGCGGTGAACAACATTTAACACCGTAAGCATATTATTTATTGGTGCTCAATAATTAAGGAAAGCATCCATATAGCCATAGCCATGAACATCCAAAATTCAACACCCAATAACTTTTTTTTTTGTTTTTATTTTCAAAGAGGCACATGATCAATGAACAATGAAGCAATGTGCGCCTTTAAAAGATAGGGATCCGTGTAGCCATCGCCTTTCTCGTATAACACGTGAGAGCAACGTGCATAATTGAGAATACGTTGTGTGAGAGCTACAGGCAGTGGAGTTGGGTTTTGACAGTACTCTTCCGTAGTGTCTTTCCAGGCTATAGAAATCTCATTCCGAAAGGATTCAACGGCTTCGTCCAGAGATGCTGATAAGTTCTCCTTCACGTAGCATTCCACTGCGGAAGCCACATGCTCTCTCTCTCGTTCCAACTGAGGAAACAAACACAAATCAACAGTAGTGAAACTAAGAACCAATTTTCAACGTTATATATAACCTTCACATCATGTAAATGTTAATGACTGGTATTCTCCATGTGATCTCACCGTTAGATGTAATTTGTTATACTTTGACGAATCAAAATCGTCTATATATATAATATGGGAGTTCTATGTCATTCTTTTGGGAGATCTATGCAATGCTTTACATCAAACATGGATAACACAAGTAAATGTTTAATGGTTACCTCATGAGAGGTGATATCATTTTCGAGCCTACCAATGGCAGCGACACTTCTTATCATCTTAGGTTCATTGGAAAGCCATTCGAAAGCCTCTCTTGTGGCTATTTCTGGTCCCATCCCAAGAAAAGCAGACGCAGAAAGAATGAGTGAACTGCTGGTGATATATGCTTCCTTCTTGTACTCCTCAAGTGTTGGAACGTAGCCTTTGTTGCGCCACAGAGCCTCAGTCAAGTAGGATCCACATATTCTTTTTAGCTATATATCAATCATGCAATTGCGAAGGAGGGAATTAATTGATGAGTATTGAATGCTTCCACATTGATTTCGTCAAGTATACAAGTTCACTGTCGTACCTCTGCCTTAGCATACTCAACACCGAAAGAGGATCCTAATTTTCCAACTTCCACATTGATTTCATCATAAGTGTTAACGATGACACGGTAAATATTCTTCATCGTGTCGGGTAGTGCTTCAATAGCCTCCCCATCAAACCTGAAAGGAAGTATATTCATATGTTACACTCAAGAAAGGGAATACATAATTAAGCAGTTAACTGAATTCTAAATGATCATATGTGTGTGTTAAAAGCAGTAAGCACTGCACCTTTGAATAGCTTCTGTGAGGATTTGGAGCTCTTCGTACGTAGCAAAGTTATCGAAAGTGTCATCCACGAGTGACAAAGTTAAGAAGACCTTGTTGAGTATCGTCCTTGCCAATCGATATTTGGGCTCGAAGTAGATAGCATTTATACAAAAATAGCACTCCACGACTCTGTCTCTTGCGTACGGAAAGTTGGTTGTCACTTGAAGGCTTTGCCACCAGCTATGTATACATACATATATATATTAGACAAGTAAGTAGAATGGACAAACTTCTTTCTTGAAGAACCGACATGAATAGCACTTACTTTGAGATTTCACGGAGCTCCTGCTGATGAATGTTTTGGACCATATTGAAGTCCAACTTTGCAAGCATGAGGAGCTTTTGGTTGTGTGATGGATCCTCGGAGTAGAAATCGATGTAATACCTAGCGAGTAACCTTGGGATGCACTTCCAAACGGGAAAACAAAGTGCAAAATTGATATGCTTTTGGAACCTAGGGTTGATAGTCTGTGGGAGGATTGAGTACTTCAGGGTCTTTGTTGCAAAACTTAGGGCTTCGTCCAATATGTCTTCTCCATTAAACGCCATGTGTGCTGCCTCGTACAAGCTTAACAACCCTTGGTCATTGGTTGATAACCATTCGTTGAATCTTCCTTCATTGTCCTTCAACTTTGTAAACCAATCTACAAATATCATGCTTATCCACTATTAACTTATATGTAAAAGAGAGATATAGATTATCATTAATCAACTTAATCAAATGGCTATAACATAAAATACCGTGTGAGACAGGAAATCCATGTTGTCTGAGGAGTCGAAATCGAAGAGTTGCATGGTAGAGATCGGTACCCTTGTCATCCATATTATTGAACAAGCCATCCCCTTTATCATACACTTTTTCAAGTGCTTCTTCTATCTCCGTTTCAAAATGATACCCAACACCTAACCGTTGGATTGTATCTATCAGTTGCAACTTGTCGGCCATCGCGGCCTCGTCATCTCCACTTTTCGGTTCATAAGTGATCAGCATCTTCCTCACTTCTTCCTTTAGAACTTGGTATTTGGGTTGCTTTTGTTTGACCTAAAAAAAACAAGTATGTGATTAGGCAGCCTTATATTAACTGTCGTTAAATGTTTTAGCGACTATGCCCCGTCACTAAATCACTGTTTTATTCAGTGATCGGTAAGAAGTTAGAACCGATCCATTTTGTGGCTATCACCCAACAAGGTGCGATACTGAAACCCATGTCGGGTTAAAACAGATAAATGACAATAGCCACTAATTAATTAATTATTAATAATTGGTATAAATTAAATTAACCTGGTGGGAGACATAATCAACTTTGTTGTCGAGGAAGCCATCGCCCCAAACTGTGCGAGGGAAGCTTACTGATGAGACCCGATCCACTGCGCCGGCTGCGGTTGCCTGTTTCTTGGTCGCCGGCGCCTTACCAGCTGGCGGAACGACTGGCCGGAGTGAAGAAGATGACGACATAGTAATAATAAGAGCATGCATGGCTAATGGCTTGGCTGGCTGTTGTAGCAGCTTCGATATAATAATCTGTAGATGCCAATACTGCAATCTATACATACTACTCTCGACTATATATAGTTGAATTCTGAAGTCTAATATTTGAAGATATTAGCAGAAATAAAAATCAGATATAAAATAATCGAAGGGTAGATAAAATATTCGGTCGAGGATATTAAAATAATATAATGTACCATCTTGTAATTTCAACAAGTATTTCATTCTTGGGCGGTGGCGGTCGGAGATGAGAAGAGGAAGAGGAAGCAATCGTCTTTCTTTGGAAGAAAGAAGAAAAAGATAAGAGATTGATGGAGCGAGAGAGAGAAAAATTGATGAAGACTTCTCTCTATTAGATGATTCTATTTCGATAATTCTGTTTCGGTTTCGATGATTCTATTTGGAGCATCCTGATTGCCATGCTGCTGTTTGGAGCACGTGGTATTGTTAGTTCTACGGACAAGACGACTTTGGCAAGAGCCTTTGCTATCTCAACTCATCTTCATGGACGTTTTGCGCAGCATCAAGGTCTTCATCGACTTTGGCAAGAGCATTTATGTTTTCCATTTTTTTCGTAGTAATTTGTGCTTTTTTTTTTTCAGTTTTCAAATTGTTGATAAGTGTTACAATCAATTTGGGGAGGGTATTAGAGTATGAGTAGTACGAGTAGTATTATGTTATACTACAAGTAGTGTTACGCAGTGGTCAGTGTTATATTTACTAATTTTGGTATGAGCACTATAGTATAGCCGTATTAGAGTTCCACCACCTAGAGAAATTATTGTGGGAGTGGGGCTCTACCTTTACTGTACAAATTTGACAAACTTGGCACTGGACTGATGACAAGATTTTGCCTTAACAAGTAGTCCGTCTTTTGTTCTCTACCTTGATTTGGTGTAGAACTTTGGTTTCTTTCTTTCTAAGTTGTTGCTACTTGCGTAGAAAAAACGGAAGCATACTTTTCCCTCATCACTTGATCTCCTCCTGCTGTCCCCTCTCACATAGTTGGTGAGTCTTCCATTAAGTTTGACAAATCCATGTTTTTTATCGTCTAGTCGATTTATCCCAAACTTATTTATTTTCGATACCTACTCAGCTTTAATAATTGTAATTGGCACACTTTAATCATACTATAAAGAAATTATTAATATAATGTTCAAACATTATATAAATATGCATGAGGTATTTTAACTTTTAATTAACTAAAAATATTTAAATAATTGTCTTTTTTTTATTAAAAGCCCTACTCCATGTTGAACGGACTGTGTTTTGCAGTTCAATTCCCTTTCCTCATTTCTTTAATCACTTGAAATTATAAAAAAAAGTTCAGATTTAATCACTTGAAATATTTAAATTCATTGGTGGTACTTCAGTTTACTGAAACCGTTCACGTTTGGTCACTCTCCGTCCAACTCTGTTAACTTTTGCTTATGTGGCGGTCAACTCTAAAAGTTGACCGTTAAATGTGTGACGTGGCAATTTAAAATTACTAAAATTAAATTTTTTAAAATTGTCATCTCATTTCCACCTCATAATCACTTTTATTTAAAATAAATTAAAAAACCATAATTTTTTCTAATCCTCAATGCCAATACCCCGCCGTCGATGCCGCTTCTCATACCCCCGACAACAGAGAGACGGAAACAGAGCATGAAATCTCTTCCGCACTCCGACCCGAGAAGCTTCTCCCGGCAGGTGGAAATCCACAGCCAGTACTGCACCGGGTCGTTTCACCAGCAGCACTCTGATCTCCTGGCTCGGGTCCACAGGAGCTGGCTCTTCTTCCCCTGGCACCGGATGTTCCTCTACTTCCACGAGAGGATCCTCGGGAGCCTGATCGGCGATGAGACCTTCGCGCTGCCGTTTTGGGGTTGGGATTCACCTGACGGGATGACCCTGCCAGAGATCTACCTAATCGGGTCGTTCAACGACAACCACCGCGACCCGACCCATTACCCGCCCACCGTGGCAGATCTGAACTTCCAGAGGCTGGATCCAACCAGATCTATGTCGGAGGAGCTGTGGAACACAATAGAATGCAATCTGACGATTTCTTATTGAAAGCAGTAAAGCAAATATAAGTACGTTGTTGTGAACCACAAGACTCGGCCACTAACAACCACACTAACTTCCAGACTCCTAAACTTCAGCTGCCACTACCAACAGATTGAGCTGAAAACTCTCAACCATTCAAACAGAACACGCAGGACTTATTTGTAATGAACTAGACTTAAAGGACCAACTGGACACTTTGACAAACGACACCGTTCCTACTAATACGAAAGACTCTAATTCAAACACAACTTCTGGCGCCTTCAACCCAATCCTTGTGCAGCAAGGATTCCAGCTCTAGCAGTTCCAACAGATCCTCCCCTGAACTAAAGTATCTCCTACACCAAACTTCAGTTCACTTCAACACTGCTCAATCCAACTTGCCTATCACTTCAGAAACATCACAAACCCCCAGTCTGCTCCTCAGTCTCAGAAACGACTCCAGCTTTAGTGCTTTTGTCATGATATCAGCAACTTGATCTTGAGTCCCACAGTACTTCAACTCAACAACTCCATCCTTTGCTAGATCCCTGAGGAAATGGAACCTCACATCTATGTGTTTGCTTCGTCCATGGAAAACTGGATTCTTGGACAGTTTGATTGTTGAACTGTTATCACAAAGGATAACAGTTCCATTACTCACACTCTTCTTCCAGCCAATTTCCTCTAGGATTCTTCTGAGCCATACACCCTGAGCTGCACAATAAGAGGCAGCAATGAATTCTGCTTCAGTTGTAGATAGAGTGACTACTGGTTGCTTCTTGGAGGCCCAAGACACAGCACCTCCTGCCAGGAAGAAAATATAGCCACTAGTGCTTCTTCTATCATCGAGATCACCAGCATAATCACTATCAGTGAAGCCAAGTAAACTCTCTTCCTCAGTTCCTCTTTGATACAAAATGTCATGGCTCAGTGTACCCTTTAGATACCTTAGAATCCTCTTGCCAGCCAACATATGTTGCCTGGTTGGTGCCTCCATGTACCTGCTCAGCAAACATACACCAAACATTAGATCAGGTCTAGTTGCTGTGATGTATAGGAGGCTCCCAATCAATTTCTTAAATTCTCCAGCATCTGCAGGGCAACCATCTCCAGCCTTTGTTAGCTTTGTACCAGGCACAATTGGGTTGTGAGTAAAATTGCACTCCAGCAGCTTGAATCTTTCCAGAACTTCCTTTGCATATTTCTGCTGACATATAAAAATCCCAGCCTCATTTTGAATCACCTCCACTCCCAAAAAGTATCTCATCTTACCCAAATCAGTCATTTCAAACTCAGCCTCCATTGACTGTTTGAAGTCTTTAATCATCTCATTGCTGGTGCTCATGTACATAAGATCATCCACATACAGACTCACAATCAACAAATCAGATCCAACCCTCTTGATGAACAAGGTTGCTTCACTTGGACATCTTTCAAAACCTTGACTGAGAAACCATGTCTCAATTCTACTGTACCAGGCCCTAGGAGCCTGTTTCAAGCCATATAGAGCCTTCTTCAGTTTGTAGACTTTATTTTCCTCCCCAGCAACCACAAATCCTTGTGGTTGCTCAACATAGACATCTTCTGTAAGCTCACCATTCAGAAAAGCACTTTTCATATCTAATTGCCAGATTGTTAAACCATGATGAGCAGCAAAAGCAAACAAGGTTCTGATGGTGTCCCACCTGGCTACTGGAGCAAACACTTCAGTGAAGTCAATTCCTGGTCTCTGTGCATAGCCTTTGACCACCAACCTGGATTTATGCTTGTCCAGATCTCCAGTCTCCTTGACCTTTGTCTTATAAACCCACTTCACTCCAATAGGAATTACTCCCTCAGGGCAGTCTGTCAAATCCCAGGTATCATTCCTTTCAATTGCTTGCATCTCCAGCTTCATTGAATCATCCCAGATATCAATACCAGCAGCTTCCTCATAGCTTTGAGGATCATCAGTAGTAGCTATCATGACTGGCCAGTATGTGATCAGAGATTCCACCTGTCTGCAGTCATATATAGCCAGATGACTAGGTGGTTTCCTGGTTCTGGGACCAAGATCTGAACTTAGAGGGAGTCCCAGCACATCAGTACCAGTATCTTCCTCTTCTTCCTCAGTAGCATTCACCCCAGAATTTGGTGGTGGAGTAGATGGATTTGTAGGTTCCTCTTCCTCATCAGTATCTTCTACCACACTTGGCCCCTCTTCTCCATCAGAATCACTCCAGTCTTCTTCACTTCCTTCCCACAGCAGTCTGATGAGAGCAGGAGTAATGTCTGACTTCCAATTCCAACCCTTACTCTCATCAAAAACAACATCTCGACTGATGATTATCTTCCTGGTCTGAGTGTTGTAGAGTTTATAAGCTTTAGATTCTGTAGAGATACCCAGAAATTGACACTGTATACTTTTGTCATCAAGTTTCTTCCTTTGCTGATCTGGAATGTGTGCATATGCAACACAGCCAAACACTCTGAAATGAGCAACAGATGGTGGAGAGCCAGTCCATAGTTCTTGTGATGTTTTACCCTTATTGGCCACAGTTGGACTTCTGTTGAGCACATGTGTGGTCCAATTTACAGCCTCAGGCCAAAACACAGCAGGAACCTTTGTGTCTTTCAACATACACCTGACCATATTCATTGTAGTTCTATTCTTTCTCTCTGCTATCCCATTCTGTTGTGGAGTCAGAGCTGCTGTCAACTGCCTCTTTATTCCAGCTTCCTCACACAAATCCTTAAACTCTTGCAGAAGGAATTCCCCCCCTCTATCAGTTCTAAGACACAGAATTGATGCTCCAGTTTCATTCTCAACTTGAGCCTTGAACTTCTTAAACCATTCAAGAGTATCAGACTTGGCAGCCAAGAAGTAGACCCACAATTTCCTACTAAAATCATCAATCAAGGTCAGTATGTACCTCTTACCCCCATTTGAGGTTGGAGTAATAGGTCCACACAGATCAGCATGCAGCAACTGGAGTTTCTGAGTTGCTCTCCATGAACTTTTCTGAGCAAAAGGCTGCCTGGTCTGCTTCCCAACCTGACAAGTAGAACACACTCCAACTGCTCCTTTCAGTTCAGGTAGGCCTTGTACCAACTTCTTTCTTTGCACTTGTAGTATGCCTTGAGGATTGAAATGACCAAACCTCCTATGCCAGAGGCTTAGTGAACCTTCCTTTGAGTTCTCAACCTGCAAACACTGACTGTCAACAGCACTAACAGTCTCAGCAGCTTGCAAGACAAACATTCTATTTGCCTTCATCCTGGTCTCCAGCAGAAAACCTCTATCTTCATGAAATATTTTGCACTCATTCCTCCTTACTAGGAATTCCAAACCCTTCTCTTGTAATTGGCCCATACTCAAAAAATTCGTCTTCAAGCCAGGAACAAAGAAAACATCATTTATAACTAGGGACACTCCACTTATCTGCAACCTCACAGTCCCTTTGCCAGCCACATCTAACCTGCTGTTATCCCCCAACCTCACTTTTCCAGTTCCAGAAGAGGTTGTATCCAGGTTGCCAAACCACTTTCTGTTACCACTCATATGATTGCTACATCCTGAATCCAGGAACCACCACTGTTCCTTTCCTTTCAACTGTGTATCTTCCATAAAAGCCATCAGCAGAACATCATCACTCATTTTCTCTTGATTGGAGCTAGAATAGTAAGCCTGTTGATTTGTGTACCAGTCAGGACACTCACTGCGATAGTGTCCAAACTTGTGACACTTATAGCACTCAACATTCTCCCTATTCCAACCCCTACCACCTCTACCTCTACCTCTGCCTTCTCTGCCTGCAGAACCACTTCTGCCTGCTCCTCTACCTCCTCTACCACCATATTCATGGAAATTCTTCAAAGCCTGATCCTCCTCCACCAGAGGTTTCTTGTGAAACTTCTGTTCATGTACCAGTAAAGAGCTCTGAAGAGCATCAACAGACAAAGTCTCAATGTCTTTTGACTCCTCAATAGAACAAACAACATAATTGAATCTTTCTGTCAAGGTTCTCAGGATCTTCTCTACTATTTTCACATCAGGCATATCTTCACCACAGTTCCTCATATCATTGGCTATAACCATAACCCTGCTAAAATATGCAGTAACTGTCTCACCTTCTTTCATTTCAAGAACTTCAAAGTTCCTTCTCAAAGCCTGCAACTGAGCCTTCTGAACACGAGCACTTCCCTGATATTTGGTTTTCATAGCATCCCAGAGTTGCTTAGCAGTTGCCTTGTTGGTGATAGTCTTCAGGATTGATTTGTCGATGGAGCTAAACAGATAATTTTTAGCCTTGAGATCCTTGAGCTTAAGGTCATCGAGGCTCTTGGATTCAGTAGCAGACAACTGAATTCCTGGAGCTGGTTCCTGAAACCCTTCACTCACAACAACCCAATACTCCTTGGATCTCAGGAGATTTTCCATCAAGAGACTCCAGTGGTCATAGTCTCCATCGAACTTTGGCAGACCAACCTGAGCAAAACTAGAATTATCACCCATACTTACACAGCACTCACAACTCACTGATTACTATGTTTCTCTCACCCTTGGTATAGCTTTCTCACCACGATACCCTCGTGTTTCCCAACCCAGATCCTGCAAATCACTTAATTTCACTCTAGAACAATCTCTCAATAAGCTTGAAAGCTTAATCAACTCTAAAACTGGTTACAGCTTGCAAAGTGCTCTGATACCAAATGTGGAACACAATAGAATGCAATCTGACGATTTCTTATTGAAAGCAGTAAAGCAAATATAAGTACGTTGTTGTGAACCACAAGACTCGGCCACTAACAACCACACTAACTTCCAGACTCCTAAACTTCAGCTGCCACTACCAACAGATTGAGCTGAAAACTCTCAACCATTCAAACAGAACACGCAGGACTTATTTGTAATGAACTAGACTTAAAGGACCAACTGGACACTTTGACAAACGACACCGTTCCTACTAATACGAAAGACTCTAATTCAAACACAACTTCTGGCGCCTTCAACCCAATCCTTGTGCAGCAAGGATTCCAGCTCTAGCAGTTCCAACAGGAGCATGTCCGACTCAATTTGGCCCTGATTTACAACCACATGGTCTCCGATGCCAAGATGGCGGAGCTCTTCATGGGTTGCCCTTTCAAAACAGGGGAGTACGAGGAATGTCCCAAGTCGATTGAGTGGGCGCCGCACAACCCGCCCCACACTTGGCTCGGGTCGCCGGAGATCGACGGGAGGCAAGACATGGGAGCCTTCTACGCGGCGGCGAGAGATCTGATCTTCTACGCCCACCACTCAATAGTCGACCCACAAGGATTTTGACGTCAACAGGAAGAAGGTCGGGTTCTCCTTTATTTCCGGGGGTATGAGAAGCGGCAACGACACCGGACCGAAAATCGGATAAAGAGCGAATAAGAGAGCCCAATACCCAAAATTTAACCTCCTCGCCCTTTCCGGCCTTAGGCTACTCAAATCCCTCCCTCATGACACTCAAATCCCCCCTCGGGACACTCAAATCCCAACAAGCTCAATCTAAAATCAAGACCGAATTGGGACCGGACCGGATCAATACCAAACTGTATCCAATCCAATTTGTGGTCCTTATATTCTCGAAAAGACCGGACTTGTACACGATCAATTCGGACCAATTTAACCGGACCGGACCGTATAGTCACTCCTATGTAAAATGTCATGTCACCATTTACTTCCCTTCCACAAATTTTTTTTTTTTTTTTTTTTTTTTTTACAAAACAAGTTTCAAAAAGTTGGAGCAAATCAATACTCTCTCAGATTGAACCCAATACCCAAAATCAACCTAACTTGAAGACAATGATATTTTGGGCTGTATGCTAGAATTGTTCCTTTGCCGAGTACCCAAAATCAACCAAACTTAAACCTAACTTTTAAGTTTTAACTTATAAAAGTTGTGTGCACTTTTCCTTAGTTTTCTCTATTACAATTTCACTTTCGGTCTTCCTTTGCCGGGGTTACGTTGGAAGCTTTTCCCATTTTTCTTTCCAGGTAGATTGTCTTAATATACATTATATAAATGTGGAATTCATTTGATGTTAATGATTAACTCTCTCGTATATTCTATAGAAAATATAAATCAATATCTATATTAGTTGTACCTCAATCAGAACTTAGTACTTACTAAATCGACATAACCATATAAATAAACCAGTTTAAACAGACTGGATAGTAACTCATTTTGAGTTCTTGTCGTTGACTGAGAAAGGAGACCGGTAGCGAAGTCTAACTAACTAATTAACCCATTAATGGCCAAGAACCTTGACCAGGAGCAGGAGGTAGACAAATTATTGGGCAGTGGGGGCTCTACCATTTATGTAAAAATTTGGACAAATTTGGCACTTGACAGATGAAAAGATTTGACCGTCACTACTCATGACTAGTAGCGTCTTTTGAAAAGTACGTAGAAAAAAATGGAATCATACTTTGTCAAGCACGGGCCCTCATACTTCGACCCTCATGATCCCTACATTTTGGGTTGCCTTCGTCGTCAACAATAGGACAGCTCTGCGCGCAACAAACGGAACTCCAACACTCCGCTCCCGCCGGCGACAGCTACCCAACAAACAAGGCGACCTTAGCGCAGCAAGGCGACCATATGTGAATGTGTTTGTGTTCATTTGCCAACTGCTGGTGTACGTGTTTTAACGTAGGGCAACGACATCAATTCAAATTTAGTTTTGCTTCAGATTTCTGATAATTGGTGAACGAACCCAACATCAAGTTTGGTGGATTAGGGAAGTCCTGATTGTTCAGCATCAATTTAGTTACGATTGCTTCAATTTTAGCTATTCCATTACATGTATTAATTTTGTACACGTTTTGTAAAATGAATCGCTATTTGCCGTCCGTAGTTTTACTATTTGCCGCCCGTAGTTACAAAAAATATGACGAATTTTCCCTTTCTTCTAACTAACCCTAAATCCTATCAAACCCATCCCCTCACAACCTCCTCCCTCCTTCCACAACAGCCGCCGCCGCCGACCCCTCCATTCCTCTGACCTGGTTCGCCGACCCCTCCAATGTACATTGGGAAAGAGTAGCTTTGAGTCCCAGGGCAGGGATTTCGTACCTTCCGTAGCTCTACGAGGCCGAAATGGTGATCAAATCCAAACTCGTCGCGGGTGCTGTCATCGGGTGCTGTCATCGCCGACGTAGAGGAAGGAGACGGGTCCGACCGTCGGACGCGGACGGGGTCCGACCGCCGGACGAGGACGGGGTCCGACCGCCGGACGAGGACGGGGTCCGACCGCCGGACGCGGACGGGATCCGCTCTCCTTGTGCGGACGGGGTCCGAATTCTGGCGACGGACGGGGTTCGACAACAGGCGGCGGACGGGTTCCGAGATGCGGCGGTCGGTTCCGATATCCGGCGGCGGTCGGTTCCGAGACCCGACGGTTACTATTTTGTTTTCAAAAATCGTTTTTGAATTATTTTTTATTTTTATTTTGTAAACACTTAATTATGAGAATTATCTTGATAAAGATGAGAGAGGATTATAGGGCAATTAATTTGATAACTACTTATGACGAGCGCCAATTAGGGAAAAGACATTGTATTAATTAATTAATTTTTTCCTAATTAACCCATGTCCTAATTAGCTTTACATTCCCCATAAAAAAATAGCTATTACATTTTCCTAATCACTAATCTACTTGCACAAAACAAGGTATTGAATTGATTGAGCAATTAATTAGTGGACCGTTTTCATTATTAATTGACCTAATCACTAATAACTAGTATACAATGAATTCATTTGAAAAAAAGGAAGGTAACGTCTGACCTCCCAAGACCCAAGTCTAATTCCGGCCATTTCTTTACTAACAACCGAAATTTTTTCCTTAATTAAAACACATGACAGTGATAAAATTATAGATATATTATTTTAGTATATGGTGTGACCAGATTATAGTATAATGAGATTAGCATTTGATCAATAGTATAATGATATAATTAGTAAATTAGGTATATTCGTTAACTTATACAAAGAAGCAAAGCATCTCTTTCCCAATGTACATCTTCTATCCCTCCCAAACCCTAAACCCTTATTCCAACAAAATAGTTAACTGGAACCTCAATCCATTCATTCCTACTACGACATTGTTTTAGAAGCAAAATCATCTCTACCACCACTAACAACATTTGTTCGCATCATCGAAATACGCGTAGTAGGCTCAAGAAACACCTCGTTACGATCCACGGGCGGCACACGCGTAGTAGCCTCTAGACCCATACTGATTTAATTGCAAGAACATGGTGCATTTTCTTTTTAGCTCTATAAGCTAACTACATCATAGTTCAATTTGAATTTTAGGTAGGCATGTAACAATTAAATTTGGAGATAAATCTTGCAACAATTTTGACTACATTGCTCCCAATATCCCAAATTAGCGAAAGAAATGAATGTATAAATCATAACCACTTATATTTTCCAATCTAAAGAACCTCTTTCAGTCTTCACGGTTGACTGAGAATGGAGAAAGGTAGCGAAGTCTAAATAACTGACCACTAATAATGGCCAAACAATCTTGGCCAGGAGCTCCACCACCTACAGAAATTGGGGGGATGGGGTTGTTGAGATGAGAAGATTTGACCTTCACTTGGAGAAGCTTGGCCAGTAGTCTTTTGTTCTCTGCCTTTGGTTTCTTGACTTCTATATAATTTGTCACTTACTTGGAGAAAAATGGAATCGTCTACTTTTCCGTCTATCACTTCTCCTCCTGTGTTTCCCCCAAGTGTATCTTTCATTTACTAGTCTTACATAGTTGTCGAGTGGCTATGGAATCTGGATACAATTATATGAAGTGAGTGGTAACATCATATATGTTATATATATTTTGAAATCTTATTAATTATATCCTTATTTATTATCTCACTTTTATGATTGTAGTGAATCGATCGTTTTATTTTGCTCAAGTTGACAAATCGATGTTTTTTTATCGTCTAACTATTTTTATCATAAATAAATATATCCATTGTCAATGTCAGAAAATGATTCATGCAATGTTTGAAATTTTTATGAGAAATCTAAATTTTGTCAATACAAATTCAATATTCTAATTTGAGACCTCCGATACAATTCTAATGATTGTAAGTGATAGAGCTTCATCATACTACAATGAAATCTTAATATGGTGTGCCTAAAATAAATTAATATGTGTTGATCTATTTAAATTTTTAATTTACGATAACTATTTAAACATTTTTATTTTTAATTAAAAACCCTACCCCCTGTAGGGATGTCAATCCAACCCGTAACCATGGGTACCCTACCCGACCGTAACCGGTCAACGAGGGTAATTACCCGCTTTGATGGGCTAAGGGGCGGGTACGGGTAATACCCGGTTTCAAAATAAAGGGTAGGGTACGGGTATGTAATCGATAATACCCGCCCCGCTAACCAAAGGGTCAATTTCCCTTGAGAAAATTATTTTAGCTTGAGAAATTGAGTTTAGCTACCATTATTGATGATGAAGATGTAGACGATTATTATGTTTGTGTGGATTGTAGAAGAAAGAACAATTATTATGTGTTTGCTGTTTTTATTTGTGTGGATTGTTGAAGTTAGAACAGTTACAAGTATTGAGAATTTTTAATGGACAACAGTATGTATGTGCATATATGTGTATAAGTTCATAGTTTAGGATTCGTACCCGTGGTTACCCGGTGGGTAGGGTATGGTTATATAATTTTCATACCTGGTGGTTATTTGGTCGGGTATTTTAGAAAGTTCTATCCGGCGGGTTAGGAGTTGGTATAGGGTAAACCCGCACCCGACCCTACCATGGCCATCCCTACCCGCATGTCGAACGCACTGGGATTTAAAATTTTAATTCCCTTTCCTCAATTCTTTCAAAATAAGAGAAGCAATTACAGATTTACACTTTCCCATGTAAAACACTGTGTGTCCATTTATTCCCCTTCCCCATTTTTTTGGACAAAACAGTCATCAACGAATAGGAACAAATCAATCTCTTCTTTTATTTTCGAAATCGGTTCACATGCAGCCCTATATATATATATAGCAGTAGGGTAACTAAGAAATACACAAAATCAGTCCAACTAAAACCTGTTCCCTCCCATAAAAAAAAAATAAAAATAAAACCTGTTCCCGCAACCAAACCTGTCGGGGAAAATGGAGCTCCTCCACCTCCTCATTTCCTTACTCTGCCTCGTCCTCACCATCACCATCCTCCGCTTCCTGCTCGCACCAAAACCTCCGGCGGCGGCGGCCAAACTCCCTCCGGGCCCCACCCGACTCCCAATCATCGGCAACATCCACAATCTGGGCGCCAAGCCTCACAGATCCCTGGCCGACCTCGCCGAGAAACACGGACCGTTGATGAGCATCAAGCTGGGCAGAATCACCACCATCGTCGCCTCTTCCCCGGCCGTGGCAAGGGAGATCCTCCAAAAGCACGACAAGGTCCTCTCCCACCGCCACACCGTCCTCGCCATGGAAGTCCTCGACCTCCACAAATTCGCCATGCCCTTTCTCCCCCCGGATTCCAAGTGGAGGAACCTCAGGAAAGTGTGCAACTCCTATCTCTTCACCCCCCAGAAGCTCGACTCCTACCAGGAGCTCCGGAGGGAGAAGGTTCTCGAGCTGTTGGAAGATGTTCGACAGGCCGCCTCCCAGAGGCCCGGAGAGGCTGTCGACGTCCGCAGGGCGGTGTTCAGGGCGACTCTGAACTCTCTGTCGTCCACCATTCTCTCGTTGAATCTGGGGGACGTGGAGAGGTCGCAGACCGCAAGGGAGTTTCAGGAGGTTGTGAGCGGGATCATGGAGGAAGCAGGGAAGCCCAACTTGGGAGACTACTTCCCCGTGTTGGCGAGCATGGATTTGCAGGGGGTACAGAAGCGGATGAAGGGTCATTTGGAGAATGCTCTCAACTTGTTCCAATGGGCCATCGACGAAAGGGTGAGGAAGATCAAGTCCGATGAGCACTATGTCTCGCCAAACGACATGCTCCACACGCTTCTCGCCATCGGAGACGACGACAATCGTGAGGGGGCTGCCGCCGTGGATCCACTTTCCATCAAGCACTTGTTGTGGGTGAGTAGGTTTGACTAACCCTAAAGGCTGCTTAATTGGCTAGAGGATCAATGTGGTTGATCACCCTTTTTTTGCGTTTATTTTCGTTATTCGCTGATTTTGGTTTGACCTGTCAGGATTTGTTCGTAGCTGGCACGGATACAACTTCAAGCTCATTGGAGTGGGCAATGGCAGAACTCCTGCGTCATCCTGACAAACTCACCAAAGCAAGGAAAGAACTAGATGAAACCATTGGAAAAGGCAATCATCTCTGTGAATCAGACATCACTCGATTGCCATATCTACAAGCAATAGTGAAAGAGACCTTAAGGCTACGCCCAGTAGCTCCTCTACTCGTTCCCCGCAAAGCAAGTGAAGATGTGGAAATATGTGGCTTCCTCGTGCCGAAAGGTGCACAAATTCTGATCAACGTATGGGCTATTAATCGCGATCCGGTTGCATGGGACGATCCGGACTCATTCATGCCAGAAAGATTCCTGGACTCGAAGGTCGATGTTAGGGGGAAGGATTTTGAGTTGCTTCCATTTGGTGGCGGAAGAAGGGTATGTCCTGGAATGTCGTTGGGATTGAGGGTGTTCCATATGATGTTGGGTTCATTGATTCATTGGTTTGAATGGAAGCTTCCAAATGGTGTCGGGCCAGAGAAGCTAGATATGGAAGAGCAGCTTGGGATGGCTTTGCATAAGTTCAAACCTTTGCTTGCGGTCCCGACTCCCATATAATATCTTATTAAAAGAATTAGCACTATACTTAAAATCTATTGTTGCTGTGATCATGAAAAATTTCTTCCTGGGGATAATAAAGAAGTCATAAACTTCAAATGGATCACGAAAAGAATTATATAGTTTTTATGGGACAAGTATATATACTAGCTACGTAATTTCTTTTGTTATATAATGGGACCATGGTTTTGCGTGCATGGCTATATGAATGAATCATCATGATGAATCTTTCCATTTTTCAGAATGTCAAACCGTTTGAGTTTGGTTGAGTTACTTAAGAATATTCATGGTTCATCACAAACAATCATACCCCTTCAGTGGATTAATAAGTGACGAGGAATCCTGTCTTTACCGACGACGACGACGAATGATTATTTGTGAGATTATCCTTATTTGTGATGAAAATTACCCTTGATGTAAATAATTGATTTAAGTAGTGGATGGCAAATGACGCTATGCCCAAATCTAAACTTTTAGTGAGTTTGGGAGGGAGAATATTATAAATAGGATTTAAAAAATTTCTCTCTGAAATTCGGATAAGAAACCATTCACATAAGTTTGCTCCATTGACTTGAGTTGTTGATCGAGAACGGTTTAAGAAATAATCTTTTATCAGTGTTTTATGTACTCGCGCCTACGAAAAACATTTCATCATGAAAGTTACGAATTTGCGTGCTAATAATATGTGGAGATTACTGAAGTTTGACGGACACATCTTACCACCATATATGTTTCAAAAGCTAATTCATTTCAATAAGTTAAATTTTGATAAGAAAAACTCATCGTATACACCATGTCCTTAATTTAGAGGTGGGAATTAGAGGTGGCAAATGGATTGGATTGGTGGATCCATGGATTAAATGGATTGGATCTAATGGATTGGTGGATTCATGGATTGGATCAAGTGGATTGGTGGATTATCCATGAATCCAAATGACATCCTCAACCAAGGACCAATATGTAAAACGTAAAAAGTTTAGGTACTAAAATGTCACAATGAAAAATTTTAGGTACCAAAATGTAAAAAATAAAAATTATAGGTACTAAACCGTAATTTGCCAATGATCCATGGATCCAATCCATGAATCCACCAATCCAATTGGATTTGGATCAAATGGATTGGATTTAAATGGATTGGATTAGGTGGATATTTTTAATGGATTGATGGATTGGATTGGTGGATTGGATTCAAATTGCCACCTCTAGTGGGAATGCATTGGATTTCTGAATTAGTGGATTCATGAATTTGATCAAATTGATTGGTGAATTACAATTTTATGTATACGTACGACCATATATGTTCCAAAAAATCCATACCAAATAGCACCCATAATTTTATGTAAAAAAATATAAAATATAGTAAGTATATGTAGTAAGATATAAATTTTCATATATCTATGAATCAATCTAAGAATCCATAAATCCAATAGAAATTGAATTAAATGAATTGATTTATTTAAAATTTTCAATAAATGAATTGGATTGAATTGAATTTAAATTACCTCTACGTGAATCATAAATTGTAAAATAAGAAAAAAAAATCATTGTTTCCGAAAGCTAGCAAAAGCTAAGGTTATGAACCCGCCGCTTGACGAAGGTCCACCTAGGGTTGGGAAAATAGACCAGACCGTTAGAAAAACCGTGGTCCAAACCGTACCGCACAGTTTGCTCCCGACCGTAGACCGTGAAGTATGGTCTGGTCTGGTCCATGGTCTGTATTATTTTATAATTTGATCTCATGGTCTGGTCTGGTCTAGATCGCGGTTTACCGGACCAAACCGTAGACCCAACTGACTTGTCAATACGTGTTAACAGCTCATTCGACCACTCTCCAAACCCCCACAACGACACCCAAGTCTCAACCTTAATTTTGTGAATCTCTTCCCTCCTTCATTCACAACCACATTTAACCACAGAGTAGAGATAATCGTGTCTCCATATGCCATTATGTTAATGTTACAACCACATTTAACCACAGAGTAGAGATAATCGTGTCTCCATATGACATTATGTTAATGTTTATGACATTATGGTGCAAGCTGGGATGCTTTTACTTTGTATCTTTGTTATGTACTAAGATTTAGAGTATCAAAATTATTCATGCATGTTAGGATTAATGTTTTAAGGAAAATAACAATTATTTTTCTTGGTTATTGGTTCAATTTTTTGTGTGGTTGACTAAACAAATTTTTCATTTTTCGTTGAGTGTGGTCTATCTTGACCAGACCAGACCGAACCAGACCGCACAGGTGTGGTCTGGACCAGACCGTATAGTCTGTGGTCTGGTCTGTGGTCTATACTTTAGCCTCTCGGTCTGGACCGTAGACCGTATATATGGTCTGGTCTGGACCAGACCGCACCGTTTCCCAGCCTCCACCACCTAGAGAAATTATTGGGGAGTGGACTCACTGTACAAATTGACAAACTTGGTAGACAAAAGTAGACTACAATGAACCATAAGTCTTTTGTTCCCTACCTTTTTTTTCTTTTTTTTTATAATGGTGATAATAAATTGAAAGGAAAAAAGAACTGAAACAGAAAAGGTCCTGGTTCACAAGCGCTGAACCCAGTGCCCAAACAACAAAAGGAGAAGACAACAGGGGGAAACGAGAACAAACCCCAGACAGCAAGAAACAAAAAGAAAAACAAACGCAGTGGACCAGGCCACTGCCGATGAGACGAACTACCAAACCTGCCCAGAAAAACAAAGGGAACCCAGCAAAGGCCAAACAAACATAACACACTGAACTTAACGACAGAACCCGCCCAGACCAGACAGCAAAAACCGAATCACCCGACTGATCACCCCCTTAGCACCCTGCCGCCAAACAAAGAAAGAAAGACCAGAACAAAATCGATCCCTCGGCAATTAAGTAGCCATCAAGGTATCTTTCAACCAGTTCTCACCCTCCGATTTCTCCACTTTTCCATGCGCAAACAACCATTCCATAGAGTGTCTTGCAGCTTTCTTAGCCACCACGGAAGCGCACACCGCCTTCTCTTCAAAAATCCGTTGGTTCCTCTCTATCCAAACACCCCACCAAACAGCGTGTAGGATGCAACTCACAAACCAGCCATCGACGTTCACGGGCTCGGACAATGTAACACTTTTGACCACCGAGCTTAGATCGCTCCCTCTAAATCCCAGCTCCGCTCTATTCCTGCTGAGGAAACTCCAGACATCTTTGGTTAAGTCGCACTCAACCAAAATGTGAAACGCTGATTCACTCTCTTGACAGCATAGGGTGCATATACTCGCCAACGACCATCCGCGCTTCATTAAGTTATCCAAAGTGAGAATCCTGTTATGACAAGCAAGCCACATAAAGAAACACACTTTCCCGGGAATCATAGGCCTCCAAATCTGTTTGGCTGGGAAGTCTTGGACGCTGACGACCAGGTCTTTAGACACCTGCTTATAACAAGATCTCACAGAAAACCTGCAGTTGTTATCTGGATTCCAAATAATCCTACATGGACTAGAATTAAGCTTAAAATCCTCACAATTTTGCAGAAAATTTAACAATTGAACTCTCTCCCTCTCAGCCCCCCCCTCTCAACGAATATTTAAGGGTAATAGACCATCTCACCGTCCCATCCTCGAGCGAGGCCACGTCGGAGAGACTGGCATTGGGGTCAACAGCAGCGACGACGACACGAGGAAAGGCTGAAGCCAACACCATCCCAGGAACCCATGCATCATACCAGAAGGAAATAGAGGTGCCGTTACCCGGATCCATGGATGCAAACTTCCAGAAAAAATCATAGGCCTTCGAAATATTAGCCCACACAGAATGGGAGAAACCAATACGAGCCCGATCAGTCTGCCAAACCGAACGGGGATTTGGGTATTTAATCTCAATCAAATTCCTCCACCAGCTACTTCTTTCCACCGCGAATCTCCACAACCATTTGGCAAGCATAGCATCATTGGAGCTCCTGAGATCATGAAATCCCAACCCACCTGCTTTTATCTCGGCTTTACACGTTTTCCAATCCACAAGAGCCATCCTTTTAGAATCACCATCCCCATTCCACAGAAATCGCTTCTGAATTTTTTCCAGATCATTAATAACTGAGGCCGGTGCTTTGAACAGCGAAAATAAATAAGTAGGCATACTCGCAAGAACAGCCTTGCATAGAACCAATTTCGCCCCATAAGAGAGATGCCTGCTTCTCCACCCATTAAGTTTATTCTGGCATTTAACCATCACCTGGTCCCACATCGCAGCTTCGTTTGGTCTACCACCTAGAGGGAAGCCCAGATGACACGCTAAAACACAACACCTAACAATGGCCAAGTGTAACCAATGAAAGGGACTGCAGTATAGTGGCACAAGTAATAAATATCGAATCCACGGGTCTCTAGAGTTACTATTACTCAACTTCAGTTCATTATCTAGCAAACTAGATTAAGGATTGATTGATAAACTACTCTACTGACTACTCTACTAATTACAAGTTGGGAACTCACTTAGGTATGATTCCCCCTAACTCCTCAATTAGGTCCAAGTTGCAATTACCTTTGGTTGATCTACTGTTGATTAAACTGCGGAAGATCCTAAATTAGCTTGGAATCTCTTAAGCTGACCAAGCCCTCTCAGTCCAACTACCCGGCAGACGACTAGTCTTCACCAGGATAGAAAGCTGAGGCTATGAACACAGAACTCCACTACTGGAATGAATTCCAGTACAAAGCAGTGAATTGATTGACTCTCGCACAACCAACTCACCACTATCAATCAAGGAAGCTCTCTTAACCTAATCAGATTCTATCTATCATAGGTTAAAGCAGAAATCAAGAGAATTTGATCAAGATTCAATTGACTCAATAAATCATGCCTCAATCGATTATAATCAAACAATATAGCATCCAAAACTTCATACAAGAAAGATCCTAACACATGGAACTAGGGTTCCTCAAAACCTAAGTGAAGGGAAATTACTCCATAGAGAAGAGAGAGACTGCAGAAATCTGATCTAGATCTTCAATCTCCATCTCCAAGCTTGATTCCCGAGCTCCAATGGCGAAGAAATCCTCCAAAATAGCTCCAAGAATGATCCCAAGTCGCTCTCTCTCTCTCTAGGGTTCGTCCCTTGGGTGTTTGGGAACCAAAACCTAGCTCTCCCTTTCCTTTGGCTCGAATCTGCCTCAAAAACCAGATTCTGGGCGAATTACGGGCTGAATTACGGTCGTAATTCTTCCATGCCCGTATTTTGCCCAAAACACGCGTTTTGGTTATGTTTCAGCGCACCTAAAGCTCCTCTCGGCAGTTAAATTACGGGCATGGGAGGCCAAATTACGGTCGTAATTCTCCTGCCCGTAATTCTTCCTCCTCTCCTGTTCAAAGCTTCGTTTCTCCCTCGTTCGGACTCCAAATCAGTCGCCGTTTGAACCCAGACGCTCGTAGTCTCATCCTCTTTCTTTTAATAACAAGCTTGCCTGATTATTTGTCCATAAAGTGAGGTAGAAATCCATTATTCTTCAGGTCATGACCGAGTTTCTTCTCCCTAATCGCCAATTGATCTCTGATTAACTTGAAACTTGCGCCTATGCTTCACTTTATGTGCTAGGGCCTGAAATGTGACAAAGGAACACAACCTAGCGTAAAATAGGCCAAAGAAGCGATAATGCAAGCTTAAAAGATCAAGAAACAAAGGGGAAAACATGTGCAAATATCGAGTCATCAAATCCCCCCACACTTAACTGTTTGCTTGTCCCCAAGCAAACCTGACTCAAACCAATGCAGCTCTCCAGACCTCTATAGAAACAAACAACCCCGATCGTCGGTAGAGGATTTCCTAGATCATATAGCAGCTTACAAGGTCAACTGGTCTTCTAAGACGTCCCCTATCTCTCTCAATGAGAGTACTAGACTCAAGCTAGGATCATGAGAAGAAGTGGAAGTAAGACAACCAGTTCATGGATAAAGGGACTCACACCATTCACAACCAAGGACTCGTTGTACCGGGGTGCTCTTTCACTTCATTTCACCGTTGGAACCCCTTTTTCTCACTTTCATTTACATTTTTTTTCTTTCATTTGGTGGGGTTCCAACTGCAGTCTTTTGCACGGTCGACCCTTATTAGTCGAGCAAAATCCATTTCTGTACATCTGGCGCTCGCCAGAGTTCTTCTTTTAACTCCTTTCCCTCAACTCGTGTGGAGGGTCAATGAAATTAAGGGGGGTCGGAAGCTCTATCCGTGCCCTTAAAAACACATCCTCAAGTAGGCAACCGTTCAACGGGTGGAAGTTTTACTTGTACTAGAGACAGCTTATAGCTTCACCTTGTAGGAGTACCCCACTAAGGATCACTAAAATCTCCTCCAAAACCCGAATTTGTGCAATAAACGGTGCCACACACGTTGGGCTTACCCCATGTTTAAGATTTTTGATGATTTCGACATGGAGGACCAACTGCTTTTCATTTCCCACATGAGCACCCTGTTCAATACACGAGTCCATAACACAATTCAAACAGAGTCCACATTACCACATGAATTCAACGGTCTTAGCTCCACTAATTCACAAAATCAACTGACACAGCAGAGAGCTAGATAGGAAAAATCTTATACTTCAACATCCTCCATAGTGCTACACTACCTCCCTAGGTTGCACATTACTACAGAGACTGTCAATTCAAAGCATACTGAGCAGACAATTTGCATGGAGACACGTACTTGGAGCCCTCAAATTTAAAAATTTGGACAGTGAACTAGGCTCCAAGCACACAAACAGCCAAACATTCACCCGCATACATAATCGAACACCCCCCACACTTAAGCACGACATTGTCCTCAATGGAGGAAAGATAAGGAGGGTAGAACGAAGTTACCAGATCAAGGGTGAATGATGGTGGATGGGGCAGGCGGTGCATTCTAGGAGGAGAGCGTAGTCGGAACATAAACACCCCACAAAATCTCACAAAGGTTGAGTTATTGACTCTAAAATCAAAGAACAAAACTGACTCAACCGAGGAGAAATAGAGAAAGAAATGCAAACCGACTGGTTGGGTTGCCTCCCAACAAGCGCTTCTTTCACGTCGTGAGCCGGACGATGGCTCCTAAGTTTCGGTCCATGCTATAACCTCCTTGAAGTTGAGGTTCTCGTCAATGAGGTGGAGTCGCAAGTCACGAGCATGTGGTATGACTGGTGATGGAAGCTCGTGCACTTGATGCAGATGAAGTCTCCATCCTCGAGACCTCTTCTTCTCTTCTCTCGTCTCATTGCCCCAAACCATATATGAAAACATCGATTGACCACCATCGCGTCCACCAAGAGGGACCGTTGTCGATGTGGCCTTGGTCTGGCAAAGAGACACTGCAAATGGGTCCTTGCCAAGCAGCTCCTCGAAGTTTGGTGGAGATATCACATGTAACTCATGGCCGGTGCAGGCCTCTTCCACCTTAACTCCGTCCTCAGCCTGGACGCCAATTTCTTCTTCAACCTCCCTTTCTTCTTCATGTGGTATCACCCCTGGGAAATGATCAAGAACTCCTCCTGCTTCACTTTCTTCATCCTCCACAACTTCTTTCTGCACCCTTTCTTGCTCTTCTTCTTCTAGCACGGATTGGAGAGCAAGTTGCCAAGCAATTTCTTTCATGAGATCTTCTTGCATCTCCTCACTCATGCCCGCCTATTCAAAGCTCGGTGTGGGATATGGGAAGGTGTGGTCGGCTATGATAGGACATTCTTGATCATGATCATCACGAGAACTCTCCGTGACAACTTCAGTGTGCTCCACAATGTCCTTGTAGCCTTCTTCTTCCTCCTCCTCTTCTAGTATGGTAACATAAGGGTGATCTGGAGCAGGTTGTGCACAAGATCGCTCAAGATCATCGACGCTCTTCTTAAGGCTCAGGAGGATCTCCTCTATTTCACGATAGGCCTAGACACAATGATCCATCTTGGAGCATGATCTCTCACAGTCTCGAGCAAACTGCTCCATGAGAAGCCTCAATTCATAGTTTGGATCTGGCTGTGGAGTGTAGCATGGCTCTGCAGAATGGCCCGTGAAGGCCGCCATGGGTAACTCCAGCGCCGATGGCCCTTCTGGTTGTGGGAGAAATTCTTCTTAGTAATGAGGTTGTTCTTGATATGCCCAGGGGTCCGGTTGTTCTCCGTAGTAAGGGGGTTGGTACTGGAACCCGAATTCATAGTCTTCTCCTCCTTGATTGCTCCAGGGGGTCTCGGGGTAATACCAATCGGATGGTGGTGGATACCCCCAATGGTTGGAGAAGCCATTAGGATCCATGATTCAGATCTGCACCAACAAAACCAAAAAAAACCCAAGTGAAAAGCAAGGGTGGAAAAGAAAATAAAAACGCTAAATTAACAAACTTCTGCCTTTCCTAATAATCTAGAAAGTCCCCAGCAACGGCGCCAAAAACTTGACACGCTAAAACACAACACCTAACAATGGCCAAGTGTAACCAATGAAAGGGACTGCAGTATAGTGGCACAAGTAATAAATATCGAATCCACGGGTCTCTAGAGTTACTATTACTCAGCTTCAATTCATTATCTAGCAAACTAGATTAAGGATTGATTGATAAACTACTCTACTGACTACTCTACTAATTACAAGTTGGGAACTCACTTAGGTATGATTCCCCCTAACTCCTCAATTAGGTCCAAGTTGCAATTACCTTTGGTTGATCTACTGTTGATTAAACTGCGGAAGATCCTAAATTAGCTTGGAATCTCTTAAGCTGACCAAGCCCTCTCAGTCCAACTACC